AATAGAGGAGGATCAGTCTTCTGTCAAGGGTATAAGAGTAGCTGCGCTCCCCTGCTAGAACCTCCAAGGGCTACTGATTTTTTAAAATTAATTTTATATCCAGCCACTTTGCTGAAGGCGTTTATCAGCTGCAGGTGTTCTCTGGTGGACTTTTTGTGGTAGCTTATGTGTACTACCATATCATCTGTGAATAGTGATACTTCAATGTCTTACTTTACTATTTCTATTCCATGGATCTCTTTTAGTTGTTTCATTGCTCTAGCTAGAAGGTCTAGTGTTGTAATGAAGAGATACGAAGAGAGTGGGCAACCTTGTCTTGTCCCTGATGTTAGTGGGATTGCTTTGAGCTTCTCTCCCTTTAGTTTGATATTGGCTATGGGCTTGCTGTATAAGCCTCTATTGTGCTTAGCTATGGGCCTTGTATCCATGATCTTTCAAGACGTTTATCATGAAGGGGTGTTGGATTTTGTCAAAGGATTTTTCTGAATCTAATGAAATGATATATGATGTTTTTTTCCAGTTTGTTTTTATTGTGGATTATGTTAATGAATTTTTAGTATGTTGAACCATTCCTGCATCTCTGGGATGAAGCCTACTTGATCAGGATGGATGATGTATTTGATGTGTTCTTGAATTCGATTAGCAAGTATCTTATTGAGTATTTTTACATCAGTGTTCATAAACTTACACACTCATGGAGACTAAACAACTCCTAGCTCAATGATGACTGCATGAGGGATGAAAATAAAGAAACAATTAAAGACTTTCTAGAATTCAATAAAAATGAGGGTAAAAATTACCCAAACTTATGGGACAACGTGAAAGCAGTGCTAAGTGAAAAGTTCATAACACTAAGTGCCTTCATAAAGAAATTGGGGACCTCCCATATTAGCAACTTAACAATCTCTTGAAAGATTCAGGAAAAAAGAAGGAGGCAGAGAAGAAGATGGAGAAGAAACAAACACCACCCAAGAATAGATGGAGGAAATAATCAAATTCAGGGCTGAAATCAATAAATTAGAAACAAAGAGAGCAATACCAAAAAAATCAATGAAACCAAGAGTTGGTTCTTTGAGAAAATCAACAATACAAACACTAGCCAAACTAACTAAAAGACATAGAGACATTACCCAAATTAAGAAAATCAGAAATGAAAAGGGGGACTAAACAGACAATGAGGAAATCAAAAGAATCATTGTGTTACTTCAAAAGCCTGTATTCCACAAAATTGGAAAACCTAAAGGAAACAGATGATTTTCTTGATAGATTTCACCTAACAAAGTTAAATCAAGAGCAGATAAACAATTTAAACATCCCTATAATCCCAAGGAAATAGAAGGAGACATTAAAAGTCTCCCAACCAAAAAAAAAAAAAAAAAAAAAAAAAAAAAAGCCAAGTGCCAGATGGTTTTCGCTCTGAATTCTACCAGACTTAAGGCCACAGAGAAGGACAATGCAGCCAGTCCTGATGAGACCTGATAGGCTAGAGTCAGATAGAAGGGGAGGAAGACCGGCCTATCAGTGGACTACGGGAGGGGCAGATGGTGAGAAGAGGAAGAGAGGTTGGGACTTGGGAGGAGACTAGGGAGGAGGCTGGGATACAAAGTGAATAAATTGTAATAAATAATAAATAAATTTAATAAATAAATAAGAAAGATCTAGCACCAATACCCCTCAAACTATTCCACAAAATAGAAACAGAAGTAACTTTTCAAATTCATTCTATGAAGCCACAGTCACCCTGATACCTAAACCACACAAAGACTCAACAAAGAAAGACAATTTCAGATGTAATTTTTTTTAAGGGGCAGATATCTGGTCAAGATATCCAGTCTTGAAAGTAACAAAGCCATCTGCATGTGAGGTGGACATATAGGGGCAAGAAGAAAGGCTATGTTTCTAGATTATGACAAGAAATTTGATAGGGTAGTAGCAGAGATGAAGCTGGCATTGGCAAAAATAATTACAAAGGAATTCATCTACAGCAATGAGACTATAAATAATGTTTTGCTAAATCACTCTCAACAGGTCTGAGCTATGGAAATAAAATCAGGAACTACATTGTCTCCTTTTGGCCAAAGTTATTGAATGGCTTAACTCATTTTTGTATGTCTGTTGATGCTTATAGATAATTTGCAAATTGTGTTGTCATCACAACATTTAATCTGCTCTTAGCAGCTCATAAACAACATTTGATTAATTGTTTCAGTTGGTGTCTTCTGGAAAAGATTTAGAGAGCTCAGTTTATTTGGATGAAAAATACTGAGAGACAAGCTTCCAGGATAAGGGAAGGGGAAAGTGAAAAGAACTGCCTGGTTTTTTTGTTTGTTTGTTTGTTTGTTTGTTTTTTGTTTTTGACTGGATTTAGGAAATGTTTTTAAATGAGAAGTTTACCTGCTTGTTTCCACAGGAGGATATAATTTCTTCATCAGGCAAGAGACAAGCTCAGCACTGAGGTAGAGTAACTCTGGAGAGACAGAGGCAGATTGCCAGTAGAATAGAGCACTGAAAGGAGGGAAAGACTAGTCAAGCCTGAGGTAGGGGAACACTTTCTGAAGTTGCCAATTATTTTCATAAAATACTTGAACAATTACATCTGCAGTAGTTGCCATACTCTCTGAGGATCACAGACACATCATGGAAAATAGATTACACTTCAACTGGTCCATTTTTCAGAAAAAAAAATGAGAATGATCAAGGATATGGAAAGTATAGATGAAGGCTAAGTATAAATGAAAATGTGTATTATTATTGATATTATTAAAGAATGAGAGATTGCATTGTCATTTTCTCATATTATTGCATGAATTATAATTTCCCCCAGGTCCTAGATCTTTTTAGTTGAGTGGTTTCTATTAATTTTGGCTTTGAAATAATTTTCCATTGAAGTGTGCCTTTTAATCAGCACCTCTCTACCTTTGTTGATTTATCCTAGCCCAAGATCAGTGAACAGAGTTCTGAAAAACTGTTTATGGTTTTATACTTGCATCACTTTGAAACAGTATTCATCTAGGTAGGTAGATATAAAATCTGGCAATGAACATCCTTCGGAATAAGACTCTCTCATGGCAGTGATTGCCATTCGGAATAAGGCCCATGCATAGCAATTATGACACAAGATATACAGACAGTTTGAAGCTGATAGGGAAAAAGATCCTGGAAAATAGCTATCTACTAATTTCAGGACTATTAGATATGCAAACAAACCAGCATTACAATTTCTACTTCTATCCATTCCCTTTTGTGCCTGTCCCCTCTCTGAGGACTGTAAATAAATTTTATGAGCTGTGTTTTGGAATGCACACGTTTGTGAGGATTGTGCCAAATGTTTCCTTTGCCATTCACATCTGCATCTTCTGATATGGTGAAGAGTCAACAAGAAAGTAGATTTGATTCTGTTCCTTTGACTAATTCAAGTTCACTTGGGGACAGCATTGGAAAAAAACCAAACATTACATACGCACCAGAAAAGCCAAAACTGAGTTTTTCCATTAAGTAGCAGTTGGACATTTTAAGTTATAAATGGAATGGCTGAAAATATTAAGTAAGATTCAGAACTTAGCAATTGTATTGACCTTGACACCTGTCCTCACTGCCTTCTTCTTTACTTGGACAATTATTTCAGCTGAGAATGCCATCCAAACCCTCCATTTTAGAGGGAATTTCTTCAAATCATTGCTCCATTAAAATTACAATATTAAAGACACAAAGGTGCATGGGTATCTAATTGCAGTAATTGTGTTGAAAAATAACTCACATAAATCTCCTTTAGGGCCTTCATTGTGTTTGATGAATTTCATGTACTCACTTAAATCTGAAAGGATTTCAAAGCATTGTTCTACAAAGGATTATGAGCAATTATTGTATATGAAGAGAGAAAGGCTAAAGGAAGGCAATCTAAGAAGCTTACATTGTAAAAGAAACTCCATTCTTTTAATTCCAGGATAGCAAAAACTCTAACTAAAGTCCTTGTGATTCTGGAACTTTCTGTTTCATGCATGGCTTCCCACTCCCACCCCTTCAGACCAACAATTGGTTGGAAGCATTATTGTTTGTACAAGCAATATGCTGACAGACTCTAAATGTAACACATCTCTCCTGAAAAATGAGGGAAGCATGTAATCATACAAAGAGGAAAATACCCAGTGATTTCCAATCTTCTGAAAATAGTAGTCTTCTATTGGGTTTATTTCATGATTATAAAAGCCTAATAACCAGGATAGCTGAAAGCAAATGTGATTTATTAGGGTCTCTCACACAGGAGATAAACCCATAATGTGCAGACAAACATTTTTAAAGGAATATGCTAAAAAGAAAATTGTCAACAGCTTGCTAACTCGGTAGCTTCAGAATGTGATGATTTGAGACTCGGAAATACCAGAGTTGATGAATGGTAGAAGCAAAATTATAACTGTTGTTCCATGGTGAGATAAACTTTCATTTCTGTGAAGAAACTATAGATTACTGAAAGTGATTGCAAGCAATCAGCACTATCTATTCTTCTTCCCTAACTGAGCAATGTTTGAATTTGTGCCTTTCAGGCAAATGCATTAATAACATTTAGCCACTAGGTATTTGTGGAAGAAATTGGAAATTATTTTTAATTTGTTGGTTTGGTGAAGCGATAATATATTGAGCTATAAGGGAGGGGGTAAAAAAATAACCCATTGGTACACAATTTCTATTTGCATATGTAAATCCATTAATGTGCAACAGCCATGTTATTCTTATATAAGTTCTCACACAAAGAAAAGGGTTAATAGACAGAAAGATTTTTTAAAAAAATGTATGACCATGTAGTGAAATATGAATTTAGCACATAACTCATTGGAGGCTCAGTGAGTTATGGGCCTCATTTACTGCACATTACAGGCATTTTCTCCATATTTCTTTTCAACAAGGCATATAGGTTAAATTAGTTTCATGTTGGGTTTTCTAAGATCTTTCACGGACTGCCTTCTGCAACAAACTCTAATATTCCTGCTCTTTTAATTCCACAGGAAGAGGCTATTAAGAGCTGTTCTTTAATTACTGTGTGAGGCAGTGCCTCAGGAACATGTTCTGTAATAGCCGAAAGCAGACTGGCATTACACTCAAGCGTGCACAGTCAGGTGACCCACTTAAAGGAGATGCTCATTATCCATGGATGAAGGTGAGTGGACAGCGGCTCAGAGATGGAGGGGTAGAGAAGTAGGGGCATTGGGATGAAGCATTCAGACCTACCTTCATTGGACCAGAGAAGAGACCGTGATAAGCAACAACATCCTGAAGGGTTAAGAATATTAAAGGACCCCATTTCCCATAACTTAGCTCATAAATCATATTTTCAGGTACTTTACATGATTTATGAGAGGCTGGCTGTCTGGATGATCAGTAAGTTGCATTAAAATGGCAATTGGTACTTCCAAAACAGAGCCTTATGATAAGAATCTAAATCTTATAGAAAGCAAATCTCTGCAGACCAGTCAGCCAAAAACTATGGTAAAAAGGTAGCAACTACAATTTATTCTCTGTTTAAAAATGAGAATATAAAATTAGAAAAAAAAAAGCACTGGGCTGAAATCATGACATTTGGGTTTTGTTTTTTGTTGTTGTTGTTTTGTTTTGTTTTTCCTATGACCTTGATCTAGTCATATACTTTCTTTGTTTCTTATTAGCTTGTTTGGTAAAATAAGACTTGGGGCTTACTAACCCACATATATACATACACACATATACATATATCCTCTAATCTTTTATTTCTACACATGACATGCATATAAATTGCATAGTCTCCAAATAATTTACTAATAAACTTCTTCTTACAAGTGCATACTTAAATATAATATATATTCCAAACATACATTCTTTTTAATTTTTATTTTTTAATTTTATTTTTAAATATTAGTTACAGTTTATTAACTTTGTATCCCAGCTGTAGCTCGCTCCCTCATTCCCTCCCAATCCCACCCTCCCTTCCTCATCTCCTCCCTGCCCCTTTCCAAGTCCACTGATTTGGGAGGTCTCCTTCTCTTCCATCTGACCCTAACTTATCAGATTTCTTCAGGACTGACTGCAATGTCCACCTTTGTGGCCTAGCCAGGCTGCTCCTCCCTTGGAGAAGGAGGTCCCAGAGCCAGCCATGTCAGAAATAATCCCTGTTCCCCTTACTAGGGTAACCACTTTGATACTGAGCTACCATGGGCTACATCCGAGCAGGGGTTCTAGGTTATATCCATACATGGTCCTTGGTTGGAGATACAGTCTCATAAAAGACTTCTGTGCCCATATATATTTGGTCTTTGTGAAGCTCCCTCTCTCCAGGTCATACTAACCCCCCTTCTTTCATATGATTCCCTTCACTCTGCCGAAGGTTTAGTTATGAGTCTCAGCATTTGCTTTGATAGACTGCTAGGTAGAATCTTTCAGAGACCCTCTGAGATTGGCTCCTGTCCTGTTACTTGTTTTCTCCTACTTCCAATGTCCATCCCATTTGTCTTTTTAAGTGAGAATTAATCATCTTACCCTGGGTCCTCTTTCTTGTTTATCTTCTTTAGGTGTGCAGATTTTAGTATCCAAACACACATTCTTGCTATTATCCATGTATATATTGTATTTTCTGTGGTAATTATATATTCATATATACTCTATTTTGAATTGTTTTTGTTTAAAGTGAAATTTGACAGATACTTGCATATATAGTAAATATGAATGTATGCATTCATAGAAAGATATGCAAAAAATATATTATGTAACGATATTTCTATTGTAATGCATGCATAAATAATTGGTCACTCTTCCAAACATCTGCTTTGAGGTTTTTGTTACTTAATTTTAACTCCTATTTTGAAAATCATAAATGCAATGACATAGCAGTATTACATTTATAAATGAGATTATAAAATGTAGTCAAGTGCTTTCTTTAACATTGTATTGAATAAAGATAACATGTTGGCTGTTTTAGAAATAAAAAAAACTATATAGGAAATTACTTCTTGCCTTTGTTACTGAGGCAATGAAAGATCAAAAGAGGAGCTGATCAAGGGTGGCTTGTCGCTTCATATTAGTGAGAGTAATTTCCACTTGAAGGGAGCATGCAGATTCTTAGCTTTGTTGATAGACCTGTGTTGAATGGCTCTCTTCCATGTCTGACTCTGGTATGTGTGAGGAAGTTTTCTAAACATAGCTAAAGACCCAAGCGTTCCAATGATCTCTTGAATAGGCACTCCAGCCCATGAGGATTTCTTGAAGTTGATTTTCTCGAACATGTTTGCCAAGAGAGGACTTAACAGGCCCCTGGGTACTTGAGAAACAAGAGTATCGTTTGACACAGTGAATCATCTTACAATGACTAAATTGATACTCTTCACTATAAATAAGGATCTAGACTTGAGTTTGACCACAGCAAACAGAATGTTGACCTTGTGTTTCGTCAAGGCCAGTGACTTAGTTTCTGTATTCCTTAGCAAACCCATCTCTGTAGTAGTCTTGTTCTCAGCCATTTTAAGGATCAACAATCCTTCAGATATGGCCATTTAGTTATTAGTTACTTTCATTTAACTCACAGCTTCTTAGCTTACTCCCTCTTTGGTCAAGCCAGTATGTGTTTCCGGACACACAGGATTCTCTTAGTCTTTGGTTCAGCATGACTTTTTTAATGAAGCACTAAGAAGTTTATGCTAAAGTCATATTTAAGTTTTATATATGGGGTGAATACACTCATATGCAAGTATCTATAGTCTATGGCCTATGAGTGTATTATTAAAGCAGTAAACATGTAATTCTAAATACCCAGTATTTATCTAAGATGCAGAGGAAGGATAAAAGGTGAGAGACACTAATGACTATATTGGTATTTAATCCTTGAATGTATATTAATAGATTTAAAATATAAGAATTCATATGATTCTGAAAGTAAAATATTAAATTATGTATGGGTATATGTTAACAGGAGCAGGGATGTTCTCTGCAATGAACTCAGTGGCAGGCTCTCTGATCACCTCCCCCTGGGGGGTGCAGCCTTGCCAGGCCACAGGGAAAGACAATGCAACCAGTCCTACTTAATCCTGGTAGACTAGGGTAAGAGAGAAGGAGAGGAGAACCTCCCTTATCAGTGGACTAAGTTTGTGTAAACATGCCAGCATTTGTTCTCTGTAATTGTCAATTAAACAACCAGTCCATGCTGTACAATGGAGAAAATAAGGTAGGACATCCTGATCCAGCGAGTAGGAGGAGAAGAGGACAGAGATCAAGAGGACAGGACTTGGAGCCATGAAGAGAATTCTTGGAACCATGAGGAGAGATGGACCAAACCTAAGATATGACTAAAAGCAAGTATAATGTGTAAAATCTGAATGGTAAAAAACTATGTGGGCTTGGAGGTTTAGGATGGAATAAATGTTGCCCAGCATTGTGCTCTAGGTTAATTAAATAAATCCTAATCTCGGTGTGGTGATTTGGGTATACAGCTGGTTTAGGAATAACCACTGTTTAATGAAAAGATAAATCAACAGTAAATATTAATCACCCACAACATGAGTCCCAGGGATCAAACTCAGGTTGAGCAGCCTGGCCACAATCAACTTTACAGGCTGAGCCATCTCACAGGCTCCCTACTTTTATGATTACTAACTTGCAATTTAACATGACCTTTTTTAGAGTCCCTGTGTCTGAAGCAGTAAGGCTGTAAATAAATGAAATATAAATTAGTAAAAATAGTTTAGTGTTCCTAATACTAACAAATACTTAGTAGTTGAAAGGATTTTGGCTGTCTGTTTGATACATGAGGTTGTTCGTCTTATTCATAAACCCATTTACTCAAAGCTTTATCTGAAAAATGTTTTCTCAGTCTTTAATTTTTATTTCAGAGTTGAGTTGGATTTATCATGGCTTTATTTGATTCAATTAATAACAAATAAAATTGAAAATTCAAGCTGCTGATGAATATCCCTTGTAACAGGTATGTTTGATGTCGTATTTACATTGTGTTAGCTGTTACTATTTGTAAGCAGAGAGGCTTACGTAATCTAACTTTGTATCTGCCTCTCTGTCTTTCTGTGACATTTTTAGGATGATGTTTGCTCATATTATCTCATGGTCTGGTGTCATCTGAAATCTCAGGGCAGATTGGAAACCCAGGTATGATTTGATGTTGAAATTCTTCCTAGGGCTGGGGTGTTGTTTAGCATGTGCAAAGTATAAAGTTCAAATCCCAGAACTTCAGAAAGGAGTGTTTGTGTGGGGCTGTGACTATAGCTCAACTGTAGTATGTTTAACAATTGCCTATATTAGTTTTCTTCTTTTTAAGCCTTATTTTTTCTTTTTTTTTTTGCCTTTCTAGTTTATATTTTTGTGAGCTTCATCACTTTTCCTGTAATATGTATCGTATCTTCTGGCACTGTGGAAGCTAGTTAGTAGTGATGAAGCTTTCAGATGAGTCTTAGTTTGGTTATACTGTGTTCTATGGCTCAAATGCACAGTGTCTTCATCAATCTGATCTTATTGTCAAGTTTTGGATGGTAACCAATAGCCTGCAACTTCAGAAGGTCTGTGGAGCCTCACTGGCCAACAACTACAAAACAGGAAAGTCATTGCTGTCACTAGACTTTTCATTGGTTAGCCTGTGTTGTCTAGTAAGGTTGGTGTCATTCCACTAAATGATACCTACATTTAATTCCTTTTATATATGTATATATACATATGACAATGAGCTTCCATGGTAATAGGTAGAATTTCATGTGATTTTTCTTGAAGGATTTTTAAAGTTATTTATCCCTCCCCATAGTTCCTCTGTTACCTTGCCTTACCATTGCCCACCCCAATTTAACCCTTTCTGTTCTAGCAATTCCCTTTAAGGTATATTGTTGGTATAATGTTCTTTTGGAATGTATACACTTTACCCTTGTTCATTCAAATGATTTGCCCCCCCCCC